ACTGTGCAAGAACGCCGGTGGAGAAAATTTAATGCCTATTTTTGTATAACAAATAAAACTTTTTGTGCATCCGGAAACCTTTTTGCTCAGCCGTCTTACTGCTGCATATCTATATCTTGTTACTTTATGCTACTTGTTGATCGTCGGAGCTGTTATACAAGTTTCTAGACCAGATTTCTCGGGGTGTATTGTTGTTTTCTAGACTGGGAGTTTCTGAAACAATGTTGAGGTGTTTACGGATTTAGGATGCCGTCACATGAACTCGGGACTCGTTAGTTCAATCCTAACATCACTCGCAAACGTTTTGCGTTTATTTATATCTCTTGGAAGCCGTGCGGTTGGCCCAGGCCCCCTTTCTGAAAATCGACTGTATAAAAGCCTGTTCAATAAAAGGTTGTCAAAGGTTACAACAATGGTTTCCTTACCGTAACGTCACTTACTGTCACAAACCTTGACGTTTATGCATTTTCTTACTCTCTACACTTATCTATATTTCACCTGTCAGCAGTATTATTGTCTTGTCAGTACTATCTGTTCTTCTTTTAATATTACACTTTTAGTTGATCGACTAAAATGGTGACCACAGACATCAACTGTAAGCAGTGCATGATGGTATGACCATAACGGTGTGCAGACTGAAACTCAAACTTGCTGAGCCCCAGAAAGGTAGCAAGAACAAAGAAAAAACACATCAATCCGTTTGCTGCACATTGTGCGTATATGGGCTCACTGCAACTGATTAACTTATTGAAGTGAGCAATGGTGAAGTCCGGCAAAAGTAGTTAACATAGATGATCATTCTTTTACCGAAATGATCATGTAGCAACGCCTCTGAATTTACGTTTACTCTCCGACTTCTGTACCGGTTGCTGCCGGTTACTTCTCAGTATGATTACAAGAACGCTCGAGGCGGTCATTCTATTACTTGGTGTGGTCGTATCAGATAATTAACAGCTGCAAACGCTTCGTTTGGAAATTACCCACTGTCAGATTGAGGCCCGAGGGATTGTAACAGTTATTGATAAGAAAGTCCATGATATATGGTTCAGAATAGAAAACATTGTCCTGAACTCAGTAAATTTGTATTGTAAATTACTTTGCTCATTATCCGAACCGAAAAGAGAAACAGAATGGAGAGAAAGAATTTAAAGACCGTAGATTCAAAGATTCAAAGATTTATTATGGGAATAACTCATGCTCATGCTTTTCTCGTCCCATAGGTTCGTGTGGTGGTTAAAAAACAAATACAATTCCTTGTGTAAAATGTCACGTGATACGTGCTTCCTTATGTTGGAATGTAAGGTGTGCTAATGTTTCATCGAGCCTCAGTTTGAAAGACTCAATGCTTGGAGCACAGACGACGTAGGGTGGGAGAGAGTTCCAGATCGAACACACTCTGACTGCGAATGACTGACGCCGGCATTCCAAGCGGCATTTTGAGACCACTAGTTTAAATGAATGTCCTCTAAGATGAACGTTGGGTGATCATTTAGCCGCGGGCGACACGGATGGCTTGGGTTTTGCATTATTTGGCATACCATAATCATATCTCCTCTGATGCGCCAGTAGTGATTGGAATATAACCCCAGTGATTTCAATCTCTCTGCGTATGAACACCGATTTAACCCCTTGACCATTTTGGTGGCCATCTTTTGTGGACGCTCCAGCATCTTGCAGTCACGCTGTAGCCATGGATTCCAGGCCTGGATAGCGTATTCTGTGAGTGGTCGAATGTATGCTGATAGTAG